CACCATATGTGGCCATATTTTCGAAAGCAGAATTGGGGTTCTATGCATAGGCAACTTCCTAAGAGCTTTGCTCTTGAGTAGAAACTCATATACTACCCAAATGAACACATGTGAAAATCCGACCAATCTAAGGGAATGTTTAAGATTGCTCTATCTCCTAAAATAATCAGCTCTACCCACCAACTCTACCATGGAGCAGGTTCACATTGGATTAGAGCTCCACGTGTTTAACCTGCAGCGGCCCAATTGTTGCTCCAAGGATGAGAGGTTATCATGAGAATGATCTTATACATATGCGCACCGGATGATATGTAGTGATTGTTACTTTTGATGTTTGTTCATAATATGTGATAGATCATTTTTTACCAGCCACATTAATTGAAAATTATAAATGAAAATAAGTTCTTTGCAATGTGACTTTTTGGAAGGAAAGCGTCATTCATATGGACTAAATTTTATTTTAAAAATTGGCAACATATGGATAAGCCACAATTAATCATATTCATTGGTAGCTAGGCCGTTGGCACTGACAACATGTCCCAATTATTCCCTCGGTTTTAGACTGTAAGTCGCTTAACTTTTCTAAATACATTGCTTTTATTTTATATCTAAATATAATATATACATAGAAAATCAAAATGACTTATAATTTAGAATATAGGGAGTAAGTGATTTGTCATAGCATGAACTTACACAACTTGATATGGCATTTGTTTTTGGCCTAGACTTCCAGCACATGGGTGAGATGTTGCAAGTGTTCTTTGAATGTGCAACGGTAAATAAGGATATCGTCGGAGGACACGAGGACCCATTTGCATAACAGAGACTGCAGTGTCGAAATTAATGGTGCCTTGAAACTTATTTGGAGCTCCGGTGTGGCTGACAGCCTGTTCGTTTGTCTTGTGCTTGTCATATATGATCGTAAATTTCCAGTCAGAACAATATTTTTCTCTCACACAAACCAGCCAGCAGTACTTTTTCACGAACCAGCAACGATACGAACCAGCCAACCGAACAGCACCTCAACCACTACTGTGAATTCAAAATGAACCCAAGTCCAAACAAGAAAACTACTTGCCTCGTTCTAAATTATAAGACATTTTAGTTTTTAATATATATTGTTTTAATTAACTATGTGTCCCTAGACCTATTATATTATTCATAAATCTAAATACACAGCAGAAGTTACATATCTATAAAAAAACAAAGCGCTTATAGTTTGAATTGTAGGGAGTACTACGCTTCTACTACCCGTTCATCTAACTAGCAGCTCATCGATCGCCAATTGGTATTGGGAACTTAGACTTGATGGTGAGAGCGCGCATTCAGCAACCGCAACCGGCAGTCCGCACAAAAGCGTCAAGAGCCGTCTTCTTTCTTGATTGAGTACAGAACAGGAAAGAAAAGGCGTTGATCGATGGCCGGAAGAATCATATAGCGGTATGGCTTTGACAAGAGAGACATAGCGATGACAAGATCTGCTAGGAGGCAACTGAGACTGAGAAGACACTTCAAGAGTGCAGAGTATGCATGGGGAAGCGCCAGGGACATCTGTCGAACTGTCAGTAGCACTCCGTGCTGGAAAGTGAAACAACTGGGCGACGTATGCATGCCACTAGAACATTAGGCGCCCTTCAGGCGCCCAGCCATGATTATTTGACAAACTTATAATTATTAAACCATATGGCCAAAATTATAACAAATATTTTCTCGCTTCATAAAAGGACAAAACTATTTTTGTATTTTTAAGTGTATATAAACACTAAGATTCTTGCACAATCTATTACAGATAACACGACATTCATATAACTGAACATAGAAGACAGGATTAAAAAAGAAGCTATATAGTGCTGGCTGTGCTGCAGCATTGCAGAAGCACTGAAGCAGCTGCAGCCACCAGCAGCATGCCAAGCAGCCATTCTGTAGCAGCTGTTTTAAGCTGCAGCTGCACCAGTGCACCGCCACAAAAACTGCCAGGAACAAACCGTTGACATAGCAAATGGCAGGAATAAATTGTCAATAACATTATGGTCTTTGAATTTGCAGACAACAAAATCTGTATAATAATATGGTTCCATTACTATTTAGGTTCTCAGACAAACGATCCATTAGCAACAACATACAAGAATTAGATGGGGCATCCAATTAACACTGCTTGCTATGATGGTTCAAACTTCAAAACACTAAACGTCCATAGGATTACATGAAGTTCTGACAATACATAAACATCCATAGAAAATTTTGATCAGACAAACTGAATTTGAGTTAGATAATAAGAAAGTTGGGATATACAATATGGTCAATGCATCTCCCAGTCAAGCCCTCTAGGTCCATTTCCTATGACGTCTCCGATGCTATGTTACACGGATACTTCCCTGAAGCTGCGTATTGTGTATCCGATACGTGTCGGATACGGATACGTGTCCGATACGCCTAGGATACGTATTCTCCGAGTATCCGATTTTGTATTATTTTCGTGATAATCGGATACGCCACCAGACACGTATCCTTCGTCCCGATATGGCCCAGCCCAGTAGAAGCCCAGAAGACATACCTTATCCTCTGCCCCGACGCCCGCAGTCCGCATTGGCGCATTCCTGCAGTCCCGCACGGCGACAAGCTCATGGCTGCGCCCGCGCGTCGCGCCGCAACCCCGCTCGCCGGCCGCCAGCCACCGGCGATGAGCCTCCGCCTCCGCCTCCGCTCGCCGGCGACGAGCCTCCGTCCCTACTCGTCGGCCGCCAGCGACGAACCTCTGAAAGGTCCTAATATGGCTAGAGGGGGGTGAATAGCCTATTTAAGAATCTACAAATCAACTAGAGCAATTTGATTAGTATGACAAATAGCGTAATGCAAACTTGCTCTAGCTCTACAAGGGTTGCAAGCCACATATCCAACAACTCTAGTTGCAATGATTACTTAGGCACACAAACTTGCTATGTAATTACCCACTAAGAGCTCTCAGTCTTGCTACTCTAAATAGCTCAACTAGATGAATGTAAATAATAAAGCAAGCTCTCAATTCTAATTACACTAAAGAGCTTGTATCAACTAGTTTGCAAGAATGTAAATAAGTGAGTAGGGTGATTATACCGATGTGTAGGGGATGAACCAATCACAAGATGAATATATAGCCAATCACCGGGAGAATGCCAAAGACAAGAGACAATCGATTTTCTCCCGAGGTTCACGTGCTTGCCAACACGCTACGTCCCCGTTGTGTCGACCAACACTTGGTGGTTCGGCGGCTAAGAGGTGTTTCACAAACATCGTCCACACGATAGGACACCGCAAGAACCGACCCACAAGTGAGGTAACTCAATGACACGAGCAATTTACTAGAGTTACCTTTCGGCAATCCGCCGGGGAAGGTACAACTCCCCTTACAATCACCGGAGATGGCCACGAACAATCACCAATTCGTGCCAATCCTCCACCGCTGCTCCAACCGTCTAGGTGGTGGCAACCACCAAGAGAAACAAGCGAAATCCGCAGCGCAACACGAATACCAAGTGCCTCTAAATGCAATCACTCAAGCAACGCACTTGGATTCTCTCCCAATCTCACAATGATGATGGATCAATGATGGAGATGAGTGGGAGGACTTTGGCTAAGCTCACAAGGTTGCTATGTCAATGAAAATGTGCAAGAGAGTGAGCTTGAGCCGGCCATGGGGCTATAAATAGAGCCCCAGTGAAATAAAGCCGTTGTACCCCTTCACTGGGCTGAACACGGGCCGACCGGACGCTCCGGTCATATTGACCGGACGCTGGACCTCAGCGTCTGGTCGAGCGATGAGCGCCACGAGTCATTGGCTTCAAACGCCGATCGCCCGATTTCAACGGCTACGTAGTTGACCGGACGCTCCGGTAAAACTGACCGGACGCTGAAGCCCCAGCGTCCGGTCGATTCCAGTAAGCTCCCCGAGGCGTATTTCTTCGATCGGACACGTCCGGTCCACCTTGACCGGACACAGATCAGCTTCCGGTGCAATACCCTCAGTACTGCACAGACCCGTCAGTTTGACCGGACACACGCTGCCAGGGTCCGGTGCTTTCAGACCCAGCGTCCGGTCAGTAGACCGATGCCAGCGTCTTCGCGATCAACTCGTTTTCACTTCTAACTTCTTCACCCTTGCTCCAATGTGCCAACCACAAGAATTTGCATCCGGCGCAATAGAAAATAGGCATTCCATTTTCTCGAAAGCGCCGAATCCCGAACCCATCTCAACCCTGCAAACACCACCTCCTTTGTAAATGTGCCAACACCACCAAGTGTATCACCTTGTGCACAAGTGTTAGCATATTTTCACAAACATTTTCAAGGGTGTTAGCACTCCACTAGATCCTAAATGCATATGCAATGAGTTAGAGCATCTAGTGGCACTTTGATAATTGCATTCCGATACGAGTTTCACCCCTCTTTAATAGTACGGCTATCAATCCTAAATGTGATCACACTCTCTAAGTGTCTTGATCACCAAAACAAAATAGCTCATATGGTTTATACCTTTGCCTTGAGCTTTTTTTTTCTCTTTCTTCTTTCCAAGTCCAAGCACTTGATCATCATCATGGTATCATTATCATCATGCTATGATCTTCATTTGCTTCATCACTTGGAGTGTGCTACCTATCTCATGATCACTTGATAAACTAGGTTAGCACTTAGGGTTTCACCAATTCACCAAAACCAAACTAGAGCTTTCAACCTCCACCTCCGCTCGCCTCCGTCCCTACTCATCTCCGCCCTGGCGCCCTGCGACATGGATCCATGAGTTAATCCCCTTCCCTCTTCTTCTCCATCTATGCTTGATTTCTTTGCTCCCCACGCCGCATCCCCAGATCGTCTTCCCCAGAAACCCTAAGCTGCTAGTTAGTCTGTTACTCCTATTAGTGAAATTGCTAGTGTATGCAGTTCATATTGATGAAGTTAGTCTTATTGATGAAGTGCAGTTCTTATTGATGAAGTGCAGTTCTTGTTGCTTTGCTTGTATGTAGTAGATGGCGTCTCCAAATATGAGCAGTGCTAGTGTAGGATCTGCAGCCACAAACACAACTGACATCAAGGCTCCACTTTGGGATCATGTAACCATTCTGGAGAAGCCTAGAACTGGTGGAGGAAATGCTATGTGGCGCTGCAAGTACTGTCCAATGCAAAAACTGAGTAGTTACACTAGAGTTGAAGCTCATTTGTTGCAGAAGGGGGGAAGGGGGATAGGTAAATGTCCTAATGTTACATATGAAATGCTTAGTGAAATGAGGAAGGAAATTGAAAGGTGCAAGAATCTGGTGGAAAGATCCAAGTCAAGAACTGTTTCTTTGCCTATTGCTCCTTCCACAAGCAATACTGCTGACAGCAATAAGAGGAACAAGAGGGGGCCTATTTCTGCATTGGAAAAAGCTTGGGCATTAGAAGACCGTAAGCACTTGGATGCTTTAATTAGTAGAGCAATTTATTCTAGAGGGGTATCTTTTAATTTTATGAGAAATCCATATCTTCGAGAAGCCTTTACCTTTGCTTGCAGCCGCAACATGCAAGGTTATGTGATTCCTGGTTACAACAGAGTTAGGGAGGGACTTCTAAAGCAAGAAAGGAGGCACATAGAGACTTTGTTGGAGAGCACAAAGAGCACATGGGCAGAGAAGGGAGTCACAATTTGCTCTGATGGTTGGTCAGATCCTCAGAGGCGACCAATCATCAATTTTGTTGTTGTTTCTGACAAGGCACCTATGTTCTTGAGGGCTGATAATTGTGAAGGTCCGTACAAATCAAAAGAATGCATTGCTGAGAAGTTGAAGGGTATAATTGAAGAAGTAGGTCGACATAATGTAGTACAAATCATTACAGACAATGCTGCAAATTGCAAAGGTGCTGGTCTCATAATAGAATCTGAGTATGATAACATATTTTGGACACCATGTGTTGTGCATACCCTCAATCTTGCGATGAAAAGTGTATGTGAACCTAAAATAGGAAACAACCCCTCGGATGAAAAAATATTTGCTTGGGGGGAACTTGAATTTATACATGATGTTAAAACTGAGGCTGCTATGATAAAGAATTTCATAATGAATCATGGCATACGGCTTTCAATGTTCAATGAGTTCAGCAGTTTGAAGTTACTTTCTATTGCTGAAACAAGATTTGCCTCTGTTGTTTGTATGTTGAAGCGGTTTGTTGAGGTAAAAACAGCCCTCCAACAAATGGTGATTAGTGACAAATGGAGTGTGTACAGAGAAGTCAGAGATGATTCTCCAACTCCAACAGTCCAAATTGTCAAGGACTTGATACTTAGTGATGTATGGTGGGACAAGGACTACATTCTTAGGATTACTACTCCTATTTATGAAATGATTCGTATGACAGACACCGACACACCATGTCTTCACTTAGTTTATAAGATGTGGGATTCAATGATAGAGAAAGTGAAGAAAGTCAATATCGATATGAGGGCAAGCAAGAAGATGAGGAGTCAAGTCTATACTCGGTTATTTATGACATATTGATTGCTAGGTGGACAAAAGGAAATAATCCACTTCATTGTTTAGCTCATTCACTTAATCAAAGGTACAAATTGCCATTCAAATTTTTTTCATTGACTTGAATGGTCAGTACAGATTTTTTTTCATTCACTAAAATAATAATGCCAAATTGCCAATTGCAGATATTATAGCAAAAAGTGGCTTGAAGAAGGTCCTGGCCGTGAACCACCCACAAGGATAAAGAGGTATAAAAAATGAGGATGGTTTGCTTCAAGAAGTTCTTTCCCATGCCAGAAGAATTGGCTAAAGTAAAAGAAGAGTACTCAAGGTTCTCTAGTTGTTCAGAAGAATTTAATGATCCTGACTCAATCCATGATAGATGGGTTGTTTCCCCTATGATTTGGACAAATCATAGACAATCTGCTTGGCCATGAAATTGCTTAGCCAGTCAGCCTCATCTTCTTGCTGTGAAAGAAACTGGAGCACCTATAGCTTTGTCTATAGTGTCAAGAGAAATGCCTTAACTCCAGAACGTGCTGAAGATTTGGTCTTTGTGCACTCAAATCTGAGGCATCTGTCAAGAAGAATCGATGCATACAAGACAGGAGAGACAAAGATGTGGGATGTAGGAGGGGATTCTTTTGATTCACTTGGTGGTGTTGGCATTCTTGAAGTGGCTGATCTGTCCCTTGATGAACCTAAACTGCAAGCTGTGTCTTTTGGTTTGGATGAGCCGCCGATTGATATTGTGGATGACAATGAAACAAATGAGGAATAGGAACTTGCTGCTGCATGAATTGCAAGCCTGAATGCCTTTTATTAATTTTCTAAATTTGAGACTACAATATTTGAGAGTTGATGAGACTGCAAACCTTCTGTGCTGTAATAATAGTACTCTTAAGTGGTTAATTGCAATGTTTTATTGTTATCACTTATCAGTTTTAAATAGCAGTACTCCTTTGTCCTCTCCTCTCCTGCCTACTTCAGAGTTCAGACTCCAGTACACTAGTAGTAGAAGGTGATGTACTGAACTACTACTGATTACTGAATACTCAAGTTTTAGTAATAAATTGATAGATAGTTGGTTACTTGGTTTTTCTGTGCAAATTCTGGACTTGGAGTCTTGGAGAACTCGAGAATGGACAATTGAAGAATGGAGATGCTTCCGGAGTTCCGGTCTTTGCTTTGGCTGGTAATTGCTATTGCAAGGTAATTTACTACTTTCACTCTTTCATTCTTTCACAATTTTAATATGCGCTATTATCTATATTTATTAAAAAAATAGTAAAACGTATCCGCATACCGGGTTTCTTAGGAAATTGCCGTATCCGCATATCCGTATCCTTCCGATACCGATACGCGTATCTGTATCCGTGCTGCATAGGTCCGATGAACAATATTCAGTCAATGTGGTTCCTCCTCAAAGCAGGTCGGAAAAGAGGGAGCATCCTTGCTCAGTAGCTTTGGATTGCTGAAGGACCAGATGAATACAGCACTGCAATGGTGATAAGCAACAATATCAATTCTTAGTTCACTGATTTACAATCTGACTGTACAAAAGCTGAACCACCTTGTTTAGAGTTCAAATTTCAGTTTAGCAATTGCTTGTCTTGCTTGTTCCTGGTAGACAGATTGCAGATGGAGAAGTATGTGCATTGTAGATTTCATATCTCTTTATACCAAAATATGTAGTTGATGAAAAGAGCAGTAGGTTAATTCAGCAATGGCAAACACCAAGTGATGACCAATACACGATCATACACACAAGGGCTGGCTGCAACCGCAACTGGTGGAGACAAATGGTGGGTGCTCTATTTTTTAATTAAGCATCTTTGCTTGCTCTATGAAGAGATAAATTATAAGAAGCATGGACAGCAAAGAATGGATGGAACTAACTGATATTAATCATAGGCATATCAGACATGCAGATACCTGTCTGGCTCTCTATATGTGCAGTCGTGCACTCCACCAGATCCTCCCAAATGGAAAATTCTAGCCATGTGTGCAAACAAACAATATACCCATTGTAAGTACGTAAGAAACTACTGATTGAAAGTCTAAAACACTGGAAAATTTAATGGATAATCGGTGGGCCTCCTGTACATGTACTGCTGAATTTGTTGGTGGACATCGACTGCTTTGAACGGTGTTCTTGTTCCATTGCACGCAGCTAGCTTCTACGATAGAGGCACTGGATTGAGGGACGCCACCACGCCGAGAATGAGGGCGCCCGAGGCGGGAGGAAGCCGCCAGGAAGGAATCTGTTTGGTGCGTGGGCAGGGAGGAGTCTACTGGTCACCGTTCAGTTTGACCCTCCACCATGTGTCACTGGCCGGCGCCGGCACGCCATGGAGGAGGTGGTTCCCACCGCTCCTCATCTCCCAGCATGGATCTGGTGGAGCCCGTCACGGATCCGACAGCTGAAGCCGAGATCAACGCAGAGGACCTCGCCCTCCATGTCGCACCAAGGTGCCTGAGTGAAGGAGAAGGGAAAAGAAGAAATTGCTCGGCCGTACCCTCGATTCATGTCGCCGTCTTCGGGCTGTTGTTCAGCACGCCTTCGCCCCCGCCTGGCTGCTTGCCTGTCGAATGGCGCCGAGCTCGTGCGGCTCCCTGCGCTCCAGCAACGGCAGCGAGCTCGTTTGGTATCTCGTGCTCCAACGACGGCGGCGAGCACTGTGGTGCGGAGGCAGCGGGGAGAGTGAAAGAGGAGAGAGAGAGAGAGAGATGAGAGCATGAGACGGGGCATTGCGCTACAGCCTTTTACCGTGTGCCATTATCAAATATGGTCTCGACGTACACGTCTCTGAAAAGTTTGAACACACGTTAGTCTTAAATTTTCTTGTCTTTCACGCTATTCCGTTTATATTTACCTCTAATGGTGTCAAACCACAGCAAAAAAAAAGTCTAAAATGTCCTCAGGAATTCATTTTCTCGTTTTCTTTTCTTCCTCACTTATTTTATTTTCTCCCTCTCCTCTATCCGATCGGCTGAGCAGCTTCTGCACAGATCCGCATGCCTCCGTGCTGCCATGCGTCCGTGAACTGGTCGGCACCCGTGGGGCCACGCCAGCATGGCCACCCCCGCGGTGGCCTCCTCCAGCACCGAGTTCCAGCCCACGGCGCGGTGGCGCAACACCTCCACCTGCGACGCCCACCCGCGGATCACCAGCCTGCGCGACACCGTGCCCGCCTCGAGCACGTCCGGCACCGTAGTGCCCGTCCTCGCCGCCCACATGAACGCTGCCGAGCTTCGCGCCAGCGCGTCCGGCGACAGCTCCGCAGAGCCCACACGAACGCAGCCGAGCCCACACGAACGCGGCAGTTCCGCCACGGACGCCACCTGCGCCGGTGACAGCGCCTGCTGCGTCCCGAAGCTGACGTACACCACGGAGTCGTCCAGGAACGCGTCCAGCCACGTGGCCACCCGCGCCGCCGCCACCGCGGTCGCCCCCCGACAACGTGGCCACGCTGCCGACGTCCGACGCTTGTTAGCCTGCTGCCGACGTTGTGGTGCGCGAGCACCAGGGCACCCACGCGCGCAGCGGTGGCTCCCAGCGGCAGTGGCCCATGGCGGCGACCACGACCCGGGGAACGGAGCGGCACACGTGCAGAGGAGAAGAAGGCGGAGCCGGCATCGATTTTGGTTGGGGCCGAGGACGGCTACAGGCAGTGGAACACGGCGGCGCTGCGAGCTCTGCTCGCCGGCCATGGTGGTTGCGGCGGCGCTCTATCGATCTCTGTCCCTGAGTTGTAATCAACCAAGGTAGGTAGTCCATCGGAACCCCCTTACCCTCCTTTCCCTCCCCATGGTCTTGGATTAGAAAATGGTGAAGCTCTAGAGAGCTGCCATGGTGGTTGCGGCGGCGGTGTCGTGCCCCGTGACTCTGCTCTCTCTCCTCTCCCTGTTGCGCGGCGGGTGGCGGCGTGGCTGCGGCGGCTTCACTCGCTCGCTCGTCCGGACTGGCCAGAGCACGCGGTGGGGGGGGCACGGCCGGCGGTGGGGGCGATCGAGATGCTGCAACCGCGGCGGAGCTGGGCGAGGTCCGTGACGAAGTTCGCGCGGGCTCTAGCGGCATGGTCGCGCGGGCAGTGGGCTTCGGCAGCGGGGTGCGCAGGGGCACGGCTGGAGCCGAGGAGACACACACGGCCGGCGGCGAGCTATGCGCGTCCAACATCAGGCTCGGGGTGGACTCGCCTCGCCGCGCGCATCCGTCGCTGCCCTCGAGGTTGGCCACGCGCTGACTCTCGCGCATGCCACTCCTGCCGAGCCACCATCGTAGTCCTGTTTTTAGATAAGATGGAGGTAGAGGAAGATGACATGACGAGGAGGAAGACGGTGACTAGGTCACTTACGGCTTAGCCCCACCGGCTAGAGAAAGAAGGTTATTCTAGACATCGTCACTGGTCGGGCCCGCATATCAGGACTGTCAAATGGTGGAAACCTAACAGAAGGTAGACGGAATGGCGTGGAAGGCAAGAAAGTTTAGCGTCATGGCACCAGGGTGCGTTCAAACTTTTTAGTGACCTGTGGGTCTGGAGCATCTTTCGTAATAGCACACATGTAAAAGGCTCATTGCGCTAGGGTTGGTACGCCTCTGCGGGGGGTTGTTCGCAAAACTTCTAGGGGATTTCTGCAAAACGGTTACGTTATGGAGCCTGATCGCTGGTTGGTTTCTGGGCTGGTAAGCCCGGCTGGTGCTGATTTGTTATAAGAGGAAAACACTGTTGGCTGGCTGATAAGCCCTGGCTGAAACCAACAAGCGAACAGCCTCATATAATTTTTTACTTCTTCGCATTGAAATATTATTGTTTAGAAGGTATATATTGGACGGCGGGTTTACTTCCTAAAATGTGGAGCCGCGTGTCAGCATTGTTTGGCCGATTCTGCTCCCTGTTCTCCTCTTTGTTTTTTTTTTCTTTTTTTCCTTCGTTCATGTCATGCGTCGACTTCATTGGGTGATACGGTACCTGGATTCCGTATCCAAGTGCTTCCGTATTGCACGCACCAACTCTACTCACCGTAGACATCACAGCACGGACAGTGCCAGGCGCGGGCGGGCGGTAGAAAGTGACAGACACAAGACGGAAAAAGAAATTGCGGTCAGAAAATTCTATTTACTTCTAAGGTTTAGCTACTCCCATATCTTAATTTTAAGATCTATAAAATATATATGGCTCGACAAAGTATATGTTAGAGTATGTGATCGTATTTGATAATCAAGAATAGTATATATATACAGAGTACATGGTTATACTTATTTCATATACTAATATGATGGTGTATATATATGGGCTCAAACCGGTAAATGAGTAAAATTTAGAGTGTCTTAAAACATGAGTATACTCAACTGATAAATAAGGCACTGTTTAGTAGCACTCCCGGAGTCGTTTCGAGAGCAGTTTCACACCTTCGCCTACCAAACGGGGTATGAAGTGTCCGCTCCTTCCATGAATCGCGCTCTTTACAGCGGAAATCCTTCGAGGGAGTCAAAAAAGCGGCGTCGCCCTGCTCCTCCATTTGGGCACATGGGCCCTTCCTGAACCTCCCTTCATCTAGGCCTTGTTTAGTTTACATCAAAATTCCAAGTTTTTTCACTCTCTCTCCATCACATCAATTTTTAGCCGCTTGCATGGAACATTAAATGTAGGTAAAAAAAATAACTAATTGCACAGTTTAGTTGGAAATCACGAGATGAATCTTTTGAGCTTAGTTGGTCCACAATTGGACAATATTTACCAAATAAGACGAAAACGCTACTATTCATCAGGTTGCAAT